GACATTTTCAATCCAGCATTGTAAAATATTCTTCTTGAAGCAAAGGGAGCCACTCCCTGAATTACAGTGGAAAATTTCTGGCTATTTTTAAGTTGCTTTTGAAGAACTTTATATAGAAGAGTTAATCATATTTATGCTCAGAAGGAGAACCAGTTCACAAAGTCTCTGAGGGAAATTTGCCTTCTTTAGGAGAAAATGTCAGAAGAGGAAACACAAAGATATAAAAATTTCAGCGAAAACCAGGACAAATACTTTCAAACAAGTTCCTCATTAATCACAGTAATTTTTAAAGTCAAATACATGTAAAACATGATTCATTAGTTTGATTCTTTCTACAACTTTTTCTGAGCTCAGTTGCAAGCAAAGATGACTTGGCAGTCAGCACTCTGCTTGCACTCAGGAACTTTCATTGTTTGGAAATTTTGAGGGGAGACTTTCTGGCAAAAAATCTTCACTTAAATGAGCAAATTTCTCAATTTATTACTTCAGTAATGTTTTTTGAACATGGTGCTGAAGTCACTCCTGTGTCTGGAGCAATTTAACAGCCTCTGGTCCAGACAATGTCATTTTAATGTGGAAGAGTTTATGCAGCAACTGCTCCATCTTTTGTCTAGTCTAAAATGTATTATTCCCTTCTTTCTCAGCTATAAGATCAATCATTTTAAAAGTGGAAGGAATAATGGCAACAGTTTAATAAGGCCTTGCCATTTCTTTGGCTGAAAATAAGGATTAAAGTTATTTTTTCTGAAGAAATAGTGAAAATATTGTGAGGATGTAGTGAACCTATTTCTTCATTTAAACCAGGAGCCAGACATGTACAGACTGCCTTCAGAATTGCCCATTTCCAAGCCAGCATCCTGCACAAATGAGCTCACAAGGGGCAGGCTCAAATCCAAACAAGCCCTAATTATGAGGGTCTGTTAGGAGCACTGGCTCTTTGGAGAGGATGAGATGACCCCTAATATTGATTGGTTTGGGAAAAAAAGTACAGAGGAATTTTTAAGCAGGCTGTTTTAGAGGAGAAGGAAGGATGTAGCTGTGGAGAACTATAGCTTAACAGGAATATACTTCCCAGAAGAAGCTGGGTGGCATGGGATCCCATTTATGCAACTGTAAAATAGAAGAGTGCTCCTGGGATACAGGAGTGCATTTGCCCTGACTCCTCTACAGGAATTTAACAAAGGAGAGTTAAATGTCCAGGATAGCATGAGAAAATTGGACATGTGGTTGATAAATGCTCTCCAAAAGGGTTTTCCAGTTTAAGGATCACTGAGAGGTTTCTCAAAGAGAGCATCACAGAGTTGTGGCCATCCTGCCCAGAGCAGCTGTGTAGACAATTCTCCCTCCTCCTTCTCTCTCTAGTTGATAAAATAGCCCAGAGAAGTTAACTTATAGTTAGTTAGGACACAATTTTCCCAGAGACTACCCTATCCCTGGAAGTGTTCAAGGCCAGGCTGGATGGGGCTTGAAGAAACCTAGTACAGTGGGAAGCATCCCTGCCCATGGCAGGGGGCTTGGAATGAGATGATCTTTAAGGTCCTTTCCAACCCAAAGCTGTCTGTGAGTCTTTGATAATGGGTTTGTATCTATGAGTCTTTGATAATGGATTTGTATCTGTGAGTCTTTGACAATGGGTTTGGAATGGGTTGCCTGGGGCTTCCAGAGAAGGAGCCCATGCATATTCCACCATGGACCATGCACCAAATGAGCCCAAACACGTGTGTGGGAATTTGGTCTTTCACAGTGAGGTTCACAAGTGAGTGAGCTCCATTCTCATGCCACCTTTGGGCTTGCTGACAGCTCACAGGAGGTTCCCCTGGCCTCTGCTGGTGCAGCCCAGCTCCAGGTAACTCCTCTGAAGCTTGAAGAGATCAGGCTTGGCCAGGAGAATCCTCTCAACCCCCTTGCACATAGGACTGAAGTTTGCTGCAGGTGGGTGACTGAGTGTGGCTACTTCAGGGAAGAAGATTCTCCTCAAAAGATGAGAAACAAGCCAAAATATGCCTCGCTGAATATATCCACCACTCAGGGGCATTTCTGAGGGAAAACTGGGATCTTGGTCTACTTTCATAGCCTCTGGTTGCAGGGAATAGCTCACAGCACGAGGATGGATGTACACAAGATTTTACTACAAAAGAAGCTTCCCAACTGTATGAAACAACTTAAAAAAGAATTCAGGAGATGCAATTCTGTCTTTCCTTGGCTATACCAAAGAATGAAAAGATTACTGTGGGTTTTTTTTTTTTTTTTTGGTGTTTTTTTTTTTTTTTTTTTTTTTTTTTTTTTTTTTTTTTTTTTTTTTTTTTTCTACCAAATTTTTTTTATGGAGCATTTTT